CAACATCAACAACAACAACAACAACAACAACAACAACAACAAGGCATCAACGCCTATGTGTGCCCCTTCCCCAGGGGCACAAGAGTCCGGTCACTCTATTCGCATGACCCGACTCCTGTGCCCCTCCCCACCCACGAGCGGGGGGGGCAGCAGCCAGCAGCCAGCATCCAGCACTCACACAAACAAGTAACCACAAAATCCACTGGGACCCATATAGAAGTCAACTCGGCCTTGCCTTCGCCAAACGATCGCGCGCTGGCGAAGCAACGCCTCTGGTTGCCTCCTCTAGTGAGCACATGTTAGGGATGGATGGAACCTAGCATCCTATTAGGGATGGATGGAACTCTAGGGGATCCTGTGAGGAGCGGATGGAGCTCTTATAGGATCCTGTTAGGGGTGGATGAAGAATTAATAGGATCCTGCTACGGGTGGATGGAGCTTTGATTGGATCCTGTTAGGGATGGGTGGAGCAGTAATAGGATCCTGTTGGGGACGGATTGGGAGGTGATGGGGCCCTGTTGGGGGTGGATGGAGCTGTAAAAAATTCCTGTTAGGGATGGATGGAGCATCAATAAGATCCTGTCAGGGATGGATGGAGCTCTAATAACATGCTGTTGGGGATGAAAGGAGCTAGTATGGAATCAATACGAATCAAATCGGAACAAATACGAAGCATAACACATGATTACGAATGGAAGAATCAATACGAATCAACAGGTATCTATGGGGATCAATCGGACCCAACCGGAATGAATCCGAATTAATTGGAATCAATGGGAATGAATTAGCATCAGTAGGGATCAATCAGAATCAAGTGGACGCATGGGGAATCGATTCGGTAAAATGATAATAGATTAGAATCAGCAGGAATCAATTCGAATCCATAAGAATCAAAAATAACCCATAGGAACCAATGAGAATCAATTCGGAATCAATTAGAATCAATAAGGAAAAGTTAGAACCAATACGAATCAATCGGAATCGAACAGAATTAATCTGAATGAATTAGAATCAACAGGAATCAATGAGATCCAACAGGAATCAGCAACACAAATAAGACTCAATTCGAATCAATAGGAACCAATTAGAAACAATACGGACCAATAGAAATCATTAGGAATCAGAAAGGATCAAGAGGCAACCACCAAGATCAACAGGAATTAACTAGAATCAACATGAATCCATTCTAAACAATAGGAAGCAGTTCAAATCAATAGAAATCAATAAGAATCAATCCGAATCCGTTGGAATCGATAGGAATCAATTAGAATCACTGGGAGTCAATAGGAATCAATTTGAACCAAATGGAACAATATGAATCCATGGGAAGCAACAAGGATCAACTAGAAGCAATAGAACTCGATTCGAATCACTCGGAATCAATCAAAATCAATGGGAATCACTGTCAATCAATAGGAATCAATAGGACCCGAATAGATTCAATTAGAACCAATAGAAAACAATTAGAATCAATAGGAATTACTGAGAATCAATTAGAATCAATGGGAAACCACTAGAATCAATAGGAACCAACTGGAGTCAATAGGAATTAATCAGAATCACGAGGATCCAATTAAAACAATTGACGTCGGCTCCCGTACTGTTCTCCACGCATTCCTGCGTGCAAAAGCCGTTCGCGCGCCGGCGAAGCGAGCTTCCCCTACTCTATAGGAATCAACGAGGATCAGTTTAAAAATAATCATCAATTCGAAGCAATAGTAATCAAACAAAACTAATTAAAAATCAATAAGAATCAAAAATAATCAATCAGAACCAATGAGAGTCAATCGGAATCAAATAGCACCGATAAGAATCAATTTGAATCAAAAGTATGAATTCAAATGAACGGGATGAATTAGAACCAATGGGAATCAATTGGCACCAATAGGGATCATTCAGAATCAAAAGGAATCAAATAGAATCGATGGGAATCGATTAGAAACAATAGGGATCAATAGGAATCAGAAGGAATTACTTACAATCAATAAGAATCTAATAAGATCAATCGGAATCAATAAGAAAGAATGGGATTCGATTGGAATCAATGAGAATCAATTAGAACCAATAAGAATCAATGAGAATCAATGGGAATCAGGTAGAATCGATAGGAGTCAATGGGAATCCATTAAAACCCGTAGGAATCAATAGGGATTCAAATGAGTTCAATAGGAATAAATTAGAATCAATAGGAACCAATCAGAATCAATGGGAATCACTTAGAATCAATTGAAATCAACTAGAACCAATCGGAATCAATTAGAATCATTCGGAACCAATGAAGATCAATAGGAATCAATAAGAATCAACGGAAGTCAACTAGAAATCAATGGGAATCACTGGGAATCAATAGGAATCAATAGGAATCAATAGGACCCAATTAGATTCAATTAGAGTCAATAGGAAACAGTTAGAGTCAGTAGGAATCACTGAGAATCAATAAGAACCAATAGGAATCAATTAAAATCAATGGGAACCAGTTAGAATCAATGAGCATAAATTAGAATCAATAAAAAATTAAATATAATCATTAACCAATGGGTATCAATGGGCATCAATCGGAGACCCATCGTGGGACAACGACACATGTGAAGTGTGCTCCGAAATGGGCCCGGAGCGTCCCGTGGAGACCCCTCGTGGAACCACGAAACGTGTGAGGGTGATCCGAAGTGGGCCCGAGGCGTCCCGCGGAGGCACTCCACAAGGGCTGTGGACCGTGCGAGGGGCCACGGAACGTGCGAGGGGTGCTCCGACATGAGCGCGAGGCGTCCCGTGGAGACACTCGAACGGCAGCGAAACGTTTGAGGGGTGCTCCATAATGGCCCCGAGGCACCCGAAATGACTCGCGTTGCCTTCGGTGGGGACACCTCGTGGGGCCACGAAACGTGTGAGAGGTGCACCGCAATGAAAGCCCGAGGCGCCCCGTGGAGACCCCTCGTGGGGCCACGAAACGTGTGAAGGATGTTCCGAAATAGGCCAGGGGCGTCCCGTGGAGACCCCTCGTGGGGCCACGAAACGTGTGAGGGATGTTCCGAAATGGGCCCGAGGCATCCCGTGGAGACCCCTCGTGGAACCACGAAACGTGTGAGGGGTACCCCGAAATTGGCCCGAGGCATCCCTTGGAGACCCCTTGTGGGGCCACGAAACGTGTGAGGAGTGCTCTGAAATTGGCCCGTTGGCGTGGGCATGGGCGTAGGCGTTGATGCCCAACAACATCATCATCATCATCATCATCATCATCATCATCATCATCATCATCCTCATCATCAACAACAACAACAAGAACAACAACAACAACAACAACAACAACAACCACCACCACCACCACCACCACCACCACCACCACAACAACAACAACAACAACAATCATTTAAGCACTGGGGACACTCCGTTCTCACCAGTGCCAGGGTTTTCATAGGAGGCGGGCAATACCCCCACTTTGTGGGGGGGCCGGTTCAAGCTCTACCAAGTTTCCAAACGACTCTTCGCCACCACCCACACCCAGCTTCCCGCCCTATGACGTTCGGACACTTCACTTCGTGGCCTGCGGACGACCTTGGCTACTACACTGGCGCATGGTTACAATGACTTCTTGTGGTAACATCTTGTGGAAACTAGCTTAGTATACGACTTATACCCCTGTTCCAACAATGGGCACGTGTACCGTTTTCCGACGTTTTAACGTTTCTGTACCACACAAGCCAAGACCCTTATTTTGACTGGTATCACGTGCGTGGCGCCAGCATACCACAGGACTTGTTTCCGTTGTTGTGAGACGATATATGCTCATTATTGTTCTGTGGTTCTCGAAGAAAAAACGAATGTGCGTGCGCGCGCGAAGAAAAAACAAATGTGTCCCGCATGGTATTATTTGACAGGGATGATGGCCCTGGCAGGTGCGCAACCGTTGTCGCAGAAGTTCGAAAAAGTTGCTCGCAAAAGCCCGTTTGACAGAAATGTTTAAAAAGTGTTGGGTTTCCTACGAATCCGCAAGAGCGCGCGGGATGAGATTTTGACATTTTTTTGTTGAAAAACCATTGGTTTTTTGATGTTTTTATGTTAAAATCGCTCCGAACACTAAGCTTTTGGAAGGATTTCGTCTTGCGCGCGCGAATGTCCACTTTACCTTATTTTTTGCAAGGGATTCTTGAAATTTGATTATATTAGAACAAGAAATGTCATTTTATAGTGTTTTTTGCAAGGGAAAACGGATTACAACAAAACAACCGGATCTGGATCACATCGTTTTACCTGAGGCTTCCTCACGAAAATGATGAAAATGTAGCTGCGGCCTAGGCGGCGCAGGGGGGGCGTGCACCAGGGGGCCCAACAATAATTATTCTTTAGAATAAATAATGTTCAACAACAACAACAACAACGCGACAAACAGAATTCTCACCACGAATTTCTTTTTCAGCAACGCACCCAGGGACAATAAATGACCGTTCGGCCCCCTCACTCTGATCATCATGACTCGTGGAATCCTTCGCCCACACTGATGTATACTCCCACTCTCTCTCTCTCTCGCTCCCCCTCTCCTCTGTCTCTTTCTCTGCTTTCGCCCTGATAACTGTTACAAATGGGCCCCTCCTCCTCCTGTGGCTCCTGTAGCTTCCAGTGGCCTCCTGGACCCTGGACGTTCATGGGGCGCTCTGGGAACGAGGAGGTATGGCGGAGAAGAGAGTAAGTAGGAGGAAGAATACACGTCTACCCATGCTGAATGGCAACAGGAAACGCGCTGCCATTCCGTCGCTCGCCTTACCGCTTCGATTCTAGCCAGACCCAGCCCTAAGGCGCATTGATGTTTTCGATGAGTGGGCCCCCTGGAACCCTCGACTCCTTGCACACGAGTAGTTTTTCATCCTGGGTTGCTTCCTGACAGCCCCGAGGCCCGAAACCGGCTCCATGAGGCCTCAAATGCTCACAAACCGGCCGCCTGGATTCTGTCGAGGCGCCAAATGTCTGGGACCAGGAAGTCGACGACGACCGCTCTGGGCGGCCGGCCACGTAGACGGGATCCAGCATGTCGTCATGGAGGTGCACCAGTACCTTGGCGATAACCCTCACGAGGTGGTCGCGACTGGGGACGCAAGGCGGCTGCTTCCTCCTCCTCCTCCTCCTCCTCCTCCTCCTCCTCCTCCTGCTCCTCCTCCTGCTCCCCCTCATGCTCTTCCTCCCAAGTGTCTCCTCTCGTCTTGCTTGTCCCTGTTCCCGTCTCGTCCTCATCGTCCCTCATCCCTCTTTCTTCATCCTCTCTGCCTGTACATCGCTGCACCACCCTCACAACTCGCTCACTCCCCCACGTTGAACCTAATCCTCAGCCTCCTCCTCCTCCTCCTCCTCCTCCTCATCCAATTCCTCATCCAATTCATCATCATCATCATCATCATCATCATCATCATCATCATCATCATCATCATCATCATCATCATCATCATCGTCATCATCATCATCATCTCCATCATCATCATCATCATCATCATCATCATCATCATCAGCAGCAGCAGCAGCAGCAGCAGCAGAAGCAGCAGTATCATCATTTTCATAATCAGCATCATCATCATCATCAGCAGCAGCAGCATCATCAAGATCAGCATCGTCATCACCATCATCATCAACATCAGTATCATCATCATCAGCATCATCATCATCAGCATCATCATCAACAGCATCATCAGCATCATGATCAGCATCATCATGATCATCCTGATTATCATCAGCAGCAGCATCAGCATCAGCTTCAGCATCAGCATCAGCATCCCTATCATCAGCATCATCATCAGCATCATCAGTATCATCAGCATCATCATCAGCATCATCAGCATCATCAGCACCACCGTCAGCATCATCACCATCATCATCATCATCGTCGTCGTCGTCCCCACCACCACCCTCGCCACCATCAGCATCATCGTCATCATTATCAGCGGCAGCAACATCAGCACCAGAATCATCATGCCACCAACAACAACAGCAGGAACAGCAGCAACAACAGCAAAAGCAGCAGCATCATCATCGACACGATCATGATCATAATCATGATCATAATCGTCGGAATCAGAATCACCATCATCGTCATCATCATCAGCAGCAGCATCATCACCAGAAGCACCACCACTATCCTCATCAACACCATCATCAGCATCAGCAAGCTTCATCGTCAACATCATCATCATCACCATCATCATCATCGTCATCATCACCGCCAACACCACCATCACCATCATCACCGTCATCAGCATCAGCATCCTCCTGATCATCATTATTAGCGTCACCATCATCAGCAGCATCATCATCTTCAGCAGCATCATCGTCAGCAGCATCATCGTCAGCAGCATCATCGTCACAACACCACCATCATCACCACCACAAGCATCATCCTCATCATCATCAACATCGCCACCACCAACAGCATCATCCTGCTCTGTCTCATCATCACTTTCATCATCAGCAGCAGCACCACCACCACCATCATCACCGTCATTATCATCAGCATCCACATTATCATCTGCAGCATCATCATCATCATCAGCAGCAGCATCATCAACAACTGCATCATCATCATCGTCATCATCTGCATCATCATCAGCATCATCATAATCAGCCTCGTCATCATCATCATCGTCATCATCATCAGCATCAGCATCACAATCATCAGCAGCATCGTCATCATCAGCATCATCAGCATCATCAGAAGCATCATCATCATCATCATCATCACCATATCATCATAAGCATCAGTATCATCATCAGCATCATCATCAGCATGAGCATCATCAGCATCATCGTCGTCATCAACATCACCATCATCATCATCGTCGACTCTGGCATCCGTATCATCAGCATCATCATCAGCATCATCATGCTCATCATCCTCATCATCCCCATCAGATTCATCATCATCCTCATCCTCATCCTGCTCCTCCTCCTCCTCATCCCTCTCATCCTTCTTTTCCTCCGCCTTCACCTCCCCCATCCACCTCCTCCTCCTCCTCCTGCTACTCCTCCTCCTCCTCCTCCTTCTCCTCATCATCATCATCATCATCATCATCATCATCATCATCATCATCATCAGCATCATCATCCTTCTCCTCCTCCTCCTCCACCTCCTCCTGCTCCTCCTGCTCCTCCGCCTCCGCCTCCCCCTCCTTCTTCCCCCTTCCTTCTTCTCCTCCTCCTTCTCCTCCTCCTCCTACTACTACTACTCCTCCTCCTTTTCCTCAACCTCCTCTTCCTCCTCCTCTTCCTCCTCCTCCTTCCTTAACCTCCTCCTCCTCCTCCTCCTCCTCCTCCTTCTCCTCCTTCTCCTCCTCCTCATCCTCCCCATCCTCAAGAGTGAGGATGAAGAGTCCCGAGGGAAAAGGGTGCTGGACCCTGGGGCGTCTCCCAAGATCAGCTTCCGTCCTGAACGGTATTCGCCAGTCCCGGGGCCCGATGAGGGCCCCTCCCCCTCCAACATCTGGAGAAAAGAAACCGAGGAGGAGGAGGAGGAGGAGGAGGAGGGAGGAGGAGGAGGAGGAGGAGGAGGAGGAGGACGAGGAGGAGGAGGAGGAGGGTTTTCGGAGTTTTCGACGGGGGGTGGCCGCAAACAACGACACAAACTCGAGGGCCGTTTCCCTCCGCACTCCTCTTCATCATCATCATCATCATCATCATCATCATCATCATCATCATCATCATCATCATCATCATCATCATCATCATCATCATCATCATCATCATCATCATCATCATCATCATCATCATCATCATCATCATCATCATCATCATCATCATCATCATCATAATCGTCATCATCATCATCATCATCATCATCAGCATCATCATCATCATCATCATCAGCATCACCACCACCACCACCACCACCACCATCATCATCATCATCATCATCATCATCATCACCACCACCACCACCACCATCATCATCATCATCATCATCATCATCATCATCCTTCTCCTCCCTATTTCCCTTCCTCCTCCCCTCCCCCCCTCCTCGACCTCCTCCCTCTTTCCCTCCCTCCCTCCCTCGCTCCCCCCTCCTCCACCTCCGTCGTGGCGAAGGCATGGAGGCCCCTAGGACGAGCGAGGCGCCGCCGAAGGGCGGATTTCCACCGCTCCACCCAACCAGCCACAACGGGGGGAGCTCGTATTCATTACCCCCTCTGGGGGAACCCATCGTCTCGACGTTTTGTCGAGAGGGAGGGGGGTGAAAGCCGATGGGCCCCCCTGGAGGAACAAAAAGATATCCGCACCGCTACTCCACAGACCTCTCGTGGGGTGCATTCTGATCAGAAATTCCAAGCGAACCCAACAATGGTGACGAGGGAAAGGTAGCGGCGTCGGTAGATGTCCCTCCTGTGGACCCCAGTCGGGGCGGGGGGGAGGACCCGCAGCTCCCCCCGGCCGTGGCTGACCTGCCCACGCACCGACAGGGAGGGAGGCAGCGCCTCTGTCGGCTCTCGTTGAACTTCTGCGTCCAGATCCAGCCCGCCTCGCAGTCGTGCTCCTCGGCCGCACATCTCGGCGGCGAGCGAGGGGGGGAAGTGAGAAGGAGAAGGCCTCTCCGGAAGGCGGCGGGACCTCTCGAGAGCCCTCGCGCCCTCGGAGAGGATTTCTGCGTCTTCGGGGAAGGCCGGGGGGTTCTGCTGCCCCAGCTGCCGCGTGGTGAGCTGGCCCGGCCGGTTTGAATCGCGCCCGGCTGCGAGTTAGGTTTGCCCGTCGGCCTGGACGACTTCTGTCGCCGCCTGCGCGCTCGCTTGCGGCCGCGACCGAAAAAAGGGGAAGGCCAGGGGGCCTCTGAGCCTTCGGAGAAGGCCCGCCCCGTCTCGCCTCGTCCTCCTCCTCCTCCTCCTCCTCCTCCTCCTCCTCCTCCTCCTCCTCCTCCTCCTCCTCTCCTCCTCCTCCTCCTCCCTCCTCCTCCTCCTCCTCCCTCCTCCCTCCTCCTCCTCCTCCTCCTCCTCCTCCTCCTCCTCCTCCTCCTCCTCCTCCTCCTCCTCCTCCTCCTCCTCCTCCTCCTCCCTCCTCCTCCTCCTCCTCCTCCTCCTCCTCCTCCTCCTCCTCCTCCTCCCTCCTCCTCCTCCTCCTCCTCCTCCTCCTCCTCGCCAGTCTCGGGCCGATCACGGCGGGCGCTTCCCCGCCACGGGGGGCCGCCCGTGGACCCACGCCCCACCGTCGCGGCCACGCGCAGGCGACGACGGTGCCCGGCGGAACGCCGAGGACGGGCCCCCCGTCGGCTCGCCGCCGAACATCGTCCCACTGCGGAGGAGGAGGAGGAGGAGGAGGAGTTGCAGAAGGAGGAGGAGGAGGAGGAGGAGGAGGAGTTGCAGAACGAGGAGGAGGAGGAGGAGGAGGAGGAGGAGGAGGAGGAGGACGAGGAGGACGAGGAGGACGAGGAGGAGTTGCAGAACGAGGAGAAGGAGGAAAAGGAGGAAAAGGAGGAGAAGAAGTAAGAGGACGAGGAGGAGAGAGAGGAGGAGGAGGAGGAGTTGCAGAACGGAGAAGAGGAGGAGGAGGAGGAGGAGGAGGAGGAGGAGGAGCAGGAGTTGCAGAACGAGGACGAGGAAGAGGAGAAGGAGGAGTTGCAGAACGAGGAGGAGGAGGACGAGGAGGAGGACGAGAAGGAGGAGTTGCAGACGAGAACGGTCGCGGGGGGCGGCGCGGGCCGAGGGGCGGGGGGCCGAGGGCGAGGGGCGGAGGCAGCGGGAGCACGAGCAGAGAGGGGCGGCAGCAGCGGCGGCGGGCAGCGGCCGGCGCGGGCCCTCTGCCGCGGCGCCTGCAGCCGTCCCGCCTGCAGCTGCGGCCACGTGTGCGCACGCAGAGACCACGAGACGGACACCCAAAGCCCGAGGAGCCTCGTCCTCCTCATCTTCCCCTCCCTCCATCCACGCCCACCTCCCCGTCCGTCCTCCCTCTCTGTCACCCCCTTCATCTCCTCGGAATCCTTCCTGCTCATCCTCATCATCGTTTCTCCTCTCTCCTGCTCCTCCTCCTCCTCCTCCTCCTCCTTCTCCTCCTTCTCCTCCTCACCTCCTCCTCCTCCTGCTCATCATCAGCAGCAGCAGCAGCATCAGCATCAGCATCACCACCACCACCATCATCATCATCACCACCCCACCACCACACCCCACCACCACCCACCACACCACCACCACCACACATCATCATCATCATCATCATCATCATCATCATCAACATCATCATCATCATCATCATCATCATCATCATCATCATCATCGTCATCGTCATCGTCATCGTCATCATCATCATCATCATCATCATCATCATCATCATCATCATCATCATCATCATCACCTGCAACAAACAAGTTGGTTCTGCTCGCCCTGTTTTACTCGCGTGCCCTTCAACCCGCATGTCCCCAACCCACGACTCCCGCCCGTTCCGTTCATGAAGGAATCTCCTTCGGAAGGACTCCTCTCATCATGTCAGCTCATGGGTAGACACCGACAGGGTCGGACAAACGGGTCGGGCAGACGGGTCCCCAGTGGGCAGGTCGGGCGGGTGGAACGGGCGGGTATCGGAGGCCTGGAAATGGGCACCAACACCAAGACAGGGGGTTGCCTCCACAGGGGGAAGATGATCCTCGAGTTCGGTGGTGGTAGTAGTTCGGTCACCTTGGAAGCCAGAATATTGCCACCATCACCGAGATCGGGATCTTCGTCCGTCGGTGGAGGCACAACGCCGATGTTGGGGCGGACCCCAACGGACGAGCCTGGCGGGCAGGCCCGGCTGGCGGGCCGTGACGGGCGAGTCGGGCGAGAGCGGACCCTCTTAACGTGCGGGTCGGGCGGACGGACCCCAGCGGGCGGCATGTGCGAGCGGACCCTACCGTTAGGTCGGGCCTGTCCCCCTACAGGCGCATCTTGGGCGAAACATACTCGAGAGACATAGTGACAAAATGCTCCAAATACTCCCAGAGTAGTCCCCAGACTATCTCTTTTAATGATACCGGAGAAAAAAAACAATCCGCCGACCCCTTGGGTCATCGGCGTGTGAGATGCTCCCCCCTCTCCAAACCCCTCCCCCGGGAACCCGGTCCGGTCGATTTGGAGGGGGGGGGGGTGCCCACGACGAGCGACTCACGACGCTCTTCCGGGCCCAGAAGGGCCCAAATACGTGCCAAGAAAGCCCCAAGAGGCCTCCCAGACGTTCTAAGAGGCCCCCAGACGCCCCAAGAGACCGCCTAGACGCCCTAAGAAGCGCCCGCGAGGCCCCAAGAGGCTTCCAAGACGCCCCACGAGGGCTCCAAGACGCCCGAAGAGACCTCCAAGACGCCCCAAGAGACCTCCAAGAGGCCCTCGCGGAGCGCCCCAAGACGCCAAATTCGTTGATTTTCATTGTTTTTTTTTCGATGTTTTCGTCATGCTCGCCTTTTCGGCCTTCCGACGCTCCAAGACAGCCCAAGAAGCTCCCAAGACTGCTCCAAGACGGCACAAGAGGCCTCCACGACGCCCCCAAGACGGCCCACGAGAGCCCCCAGACGGCCCAAGAGCCGCCCAAGGCGGCCCAAGAGAGCCCCCAGACGGCCCAAGAGCCGCCCAAGACGGCCCAAGAACCTCCCAGAGACGGGCCCAAGAGGGGCTCCAAAGAGAGACCACGCACCGGAAAACCCAGCCGCACGCCCCAAGAGGCCCCCAGGAAGCCCCAAGAGGCCCTAAAGAGGCCCCAAGAACCCCGCAAGAGGCCCCCAAGACGTTCCAAGAGGCGCCCAAGAAGCCACAAAGAGGCCCCAAAACGGTCCCAAGAGCCTTCGACACTGCTCAAAGAGCCCCGCAAGAAGCCCCCCCGCAAAATCCCAACGGACATCTCCGAACACACCGGTGTTTCGAGTCGCGCCCAGCCCCATAACCCGGAGCCTCATCTCCGCGTCCCCCTCCCCCTCCTCTTCCTCCTCCTCCTACACTTCCTCCTCGTCCCCCTCCTCCTCTTCCTGCCCCGCTTCAGCTCATCCTCACCGATGCTTCTCCCCCCCATTTTCCGCCTCGCCCCCCATCCTCCTCTTCCCGTCCTCCCTTTTCTGCCAAGCACGCGCAACCGATTGGGCATCATTTGCACGTCTTGCACTTCAGGTACCCCTTATTTGCGTCGCGCGGGACATTGTGCGGGTCGGGGAACGCCGACTTTGCTAGTCCTCTCTTGCACGCGCCGCTGCACTGATAAGCCTGGCAACTGCGCGCTGTGAACCCGAGTTCCTCGCAGCTTCTGCACACCACTTTAGCTCCTTTCGCCGCTCGATGATCTTCCACTTGCTTCTGCTTCAAATGTTTCGCGTCCGAGAACGCGCCTTTGCACGCCGCGCACGTCAGCGGCTTCGCGTCCGCCTCTGCTTTCCGCTTGCGATTCTCTGCATCCGCCTTCTCGTTCCGCCCACCCTTCTTGTTGCGGGCGCACGCCCTGCAAAACCTCTCCCCCGCATGTTTCGAGTCGTACTGGTTCGCCGCCACTTCCGCCTCCGTCTTCAAGAAATTCTTGCACTTCGCGCACCGAATCTTGAATTTCTTCTGAACCTTCTCCTGCCACGCCGCCGACTCCTTCCGTGACTTCCGCGCCGTCGCGGGCCCCGCGCATCTTTCGCACTTGCTCGTCCTTGCGTACACTCGCCTTCCGCGAGCCTCGTCCTCTGGCGCCCTCGGCCCCAACGCGGCCCACGTCTTGCATTCGGTGCACCACTTTTCGCCCGCTTCCTTCAACTCATCCGCGCACTCGCGACAAAAACACGGCCCGACCTTTTCCCTGAACTCTGTCAGCGTGAAACCCGCTTTCTCCTTCAAGGTGCTACATCTACTGCACATCTCACGGGGCATCAGCTTCGCTTCTATTTCCGCCCGCGGCACCTCCTCCCCGCGTAACTTGCCCAGCAGATGTTTCGCCCCTTCCATCTCTCCTCGCGTATGCGGCTTCATCTCAAACGGGCGATATATCAGCAAACCTCCACGAGTCTTCACGCGGGTGATTGCCACGTAACTCGCCATCCAACTCACATTTCGACCCTCCTGCAAATCTGCTATGACAGCGTCTAGGGATCGGCCCTGCGCCGCGCGCGCCGCGCATGCCAGGCCCGGCGATATCAGAAACTGCTTCCGCCGAACACCTAACACAGGCTTCTTACGGTACGCGTCCAAGAACCAGACCCGTTGTTTCGGTACGATCGGATACAAGCCCGGCCCCGGCATGCTCTTCAGCGTCCACGCGTCCGTATGAAAGTCGAGCACGATCTGCCTCGGCATCCTTCGAAGCGTGACTTCTGCCGCGTCCGCGACGGCACCCTCGCCCTCGTCGACAACCCACGAGCGAATCGTCGCGTGACACCCGCGGAGCAGCTGTTTCTCACCCCGATCCAAATGATCTGTCAAAACCACGGGCATGCCCGCCGCCAGCGGCAGCCACCCAGGCATATCTGCGCATGCTTTATCATGGTATCCCAGCCACCGAACCTTGTCCGCAGACGTGTACGGCAGTCTTTGGAGGGCTCCATGACGCGCCACGTCT